AAATAATGGCCATATAAGGAGTGCAATAATCGAACATCTCGTCAACACTGGTCATTCCATCTCAACGAACGCCTCCTTCAAAGTAATCTACAAAGTGAAGAACAACCTTCCAAAGACAGTACGATTCCGTCTTCTTTGCATCGCAGAAGCCCTAACCATCCAGTTGGTGTAAACAGAACTATGCATACAAAAGAAAATTATCCAACCACTTCTACTCGCATGGTAACAACTCCGTTAATTTGACCTAACTTTTCTTTGTTTGTTTGATTTGACCTTACTTCTGTTTGTATGCTTATTTTTCTAACTTAAAACCCTTGTGTAATTCTGTATATTATTTTGTTTCCATGTACACCCTTTGAGCACAACTCATTCATCAAACTATTCATTCCATTACGTAACTCTTATTTAACAATCATTTATGACAACTCATCACTTTTGTTACTATCCTCTTATATGAACATCCAATTCACCTGAACTTACTCCTCTTTAACAATCGTTTTTGACAACTCATCACTTTTGTTACTATCCTCTTATCAACATCCAATTCATCTGAACTTACTAATTGTATTTTCGTTTGACAAATTTAATGTATATATATATATATACACAAAATAACCATATATATTTGCGATTGTACAGCTATGAAAATGAATTCACCGAAAAGTGACTCTTCGCTGAACTACTTGTCTTCTGTCTACTAATGTTCGAATGGGAATTATTCATGAAATAAATAAATAACTTGTTAGAATGTGAATTGAATACATTTCAACACTATTTATCCTTTTTTTTGATTTACAGCTTGATTCCACACTGTATTTTCGGTACAAGTATGGAATTTTCAGCATGGATATCGGTAGCCCAAATTTTGCAGGCCGACCATAGATATCAGGTGTGCGTCGGTGCGGGCTCGAACCCCGGACCATGTGCATGGTCGGCGAGAGTCTTAACCACTGTGCCTCCCCTGATTTGACTGATAGTAATAATATCTTCCACATCTCTGATATTTGCGTTGAGTCATTTTTGTTGCATTTGTTGGGTGCAGAGTCGATGAACCAGGATTCAGTAATCAATCTCTCTTAACCTATCTATATTACCTTTTAGAATTTACACTCTACCCCACCCACTCGATTGTGTGTTAATGCATACAGTGCTATTGCTGAGCTTTTTTTTTTATAAATTACTTATCTTCTCGCGGTCAACCATTCCCAGCTTAGCTAAATTCTTATCTTCTGATAATCTGACTACTCCCAATCTACTAGTTTGACCTATATAGGTGAGTTAACTCACAGTCATTGAAAGCTATTTCGTAAATTATATTGTTTTCTTTAATTGGGTCAAACTACAGGGTCCTTTAGCCTTCAGAGCTTGTCCTACCTGAGTGAGTTTGTATGTTTAAATGCCAGTCTAATTTACGGGTTGATCACGGATTGATATCAGTACTCCCTGGTTTTCAATGGTTCTCTAACTGATATCAATCCGTGATCAACTCGTAAAACATAACTAATCCTTACAAACCAAAGCTATAGAAAGTTAATCTGATGCTCGCTAGTGACTTGCTACAGGTTGGAGTTTCCTGAGTTCTAGTGAGAAGTTGTGACCGGTGAGGTCCAATTAGATGTCACGTGTGTGGATGGATGTCCCACCAACGACAATGGTTGGGGTCGCGCTAAATCACGAATTAGTAGAAGTTAGAATTCACGAGCCATTGAATCGGGTTCCAGTGGCTGAATGGTATACGAGCTGGCCTTGTAACCGGAACGTCCCGGGTTCGAATCCCAGTGGGTGCGTACTGCCGATGATTCCCAAACTAGGATGAAACAGTAGCTGTCCACTACTCCCTGGTTTTCAATGGTTCTCTAACTGATATCAATCCGTGATCAACCCGTGAAGCATAACTAATCCTTACAAACCCAACTATAGAAAGCCAGTCTAATTCTTGATTTATTGAAAATCCTACGTAGGGAGGGTCTCAGATATCCCCTCCTCATTTGGTATAACAATAGATGACTTATTTTTCTCTCTTATTTATGTTATTATTATTAGTTTTACCATTAGTTTTATTCAGGATTTGACCCTTTCTGATCTTCCTAATGGTTTGTATAGGATAGTTAGTTATTGAACACCCACCAGCTATTCTTCCTCTATCTGTTTCATTTCATCGTTTAGGTTTTTTGTTGTTGTTGTACTACTTCAGTGTCGTTATTGCTCGGTTGGTTGGACACACTTAACTAAGCCTGCCTTTACCGAAAACGACGAATGAGATGAATTAAAAGAGGTCTAAATATCGATGAGTAGAATACGTTTACTAAGCCCCTAGTATACATTCAATATTGTTCATGTGATGATAATAATATCAAGCTTTCCAGTAAATGTTTACCTTAAGCAGATAGGTTATTACTTATAAAAATGTTGAAGAAAATATTTACACATGTACAGTGGAACAGGTGTCTCCTTCAATTTATGAAATTTAAAATGAATTCATCTCATTCGCGAGTTATACACAGTTTCCCTGTGCTAATCAAAATTATGCAGACCACAGTATGATAAGATCTTCTTGATACCATTGTAACAACTGAAGGCAAGACACAGAAGCCAAGGTATATTTTTTATTAATAAACCCGCTGTTTATATGTATCGACAGTTTATATTCTCTAACCAATCACTGAGTGTGTGTGATTTCAGTTTACATTAAACGACATGAAATAGAACGTTCAAATATACACAGTATTCTATTGTCCATGCCGAATTCAACTGTAGGAATAACATTCTGACTCTAACAACAAACAGAATGTTCAAATACATATATTGTGTTTTGTTGCTAATGCTGTACTGAACTGTGGGGAGAGGTGAGAATAACATTCCGTTGACACACATTGTCAGTATCACACTACTTCACTTGACCCCACCCCACCCCCCCATCAAAACCTTCGACTGAAGTCCGTTCGATCTTCTTAATGCTGGCGGCTTTGTTAGCTTGTTTTGTTGTATCAAGTTCCGGAGCTTGCTGACATCCACTCGCTCCTCTCTACTTGCATTTATGATTGGATTTACTTGACCCCGTCTCACGGTGACCATGTATGGTCCTCCCCACTTTAGAAGCATTTCGCATTACCCTAGCTCGTATTTGCAGGTGTTTCGCCTGACACTATGATATGCTACAGTCGTCCGATCTCCCAGCAGCGTTCCAAGTTAAAGGGCCTCATTGCTGACGGATTTTAAAAGCCATTCAACTTCTCAAAAGCCTTGGATTAGTTCTTTCCTCTGACCTTCCATAGTCATCCCACATCTTATCTATCTCTAAGAAAATGTTTCGTCTTACCTTCTACATTAAAAAAATGTTAAGACAATCAGGTATCAACCAACCTTTACTTCTGCAGTTTGTTAACTCCTGTATTTTACCTATTGTACTCTATTGCTCTCCATTAATCTTTCCTGGACTTCTAAAAAAAGACTATCATATCATATTATGAAGGGTATTAAATGCTGTGAGTAGAGCTTTTGGTCTGCCACTGCGTGAGCTCACCAATATTATAGTCGAGAGACACATAAAATCCTGTAAAAAATGCGCAAAAGTCGTACTGTCAGACCCCCTCCACCCCTTTATTCACAAATATCCCCTTGCATCTCATCAGGTAGGACGAGAAGTGATATGTATCCATGTAATGTGTGTTTTGTTTGACAGTCTGTTCTTGGTGATATGTACCCATATAAATTGTGAGTTTGTTTGATAGTCCGATATATTTTGCTATGTATATATGGATCGATATTCCATTATAATTAGCCAATCATGTTAAGACTGTCTATTGATTTGTTCATTTTGAATATTCGCTCTCACACTTGTGTTCACACACTTGTTCGGACATTCATATATATTTTGCTCTCACACTCTTGTGTGACATATTGATTCTCCTGGTGTTTTGGAAAATAGAAGTATCATCGCAAACCTAGTGGTCTTCTGATTCCCGTCTTTCCTGTGTCAGGACTATTAAATTCACGACCAGTACATAACAAGAAGTCAATGAAAGAAGTTATATGCTCGAACCACTAAACACAAAAATTCTACAATACTGTGTTTAGCCCGTATTTTATGTGAAGACACTGTTAGACGTGAAACATATAAGTTACTATGTAATTAGCAAAGTGAATCGACCCTTTCATCGTTCATCTTTCTGTAATTTTATGGTGTCACCCTTTCTATCGTTTAGTTATAACTTTGCTACTTTACTTTAGTTGTTAATACTATAATTTTATACTTTATGCATAGTTTTCTCCGTATCGCATACTGTAATTTGCTACACAGCTTCTATAACAACGTTTTGTTATTATTATGTACTGTTTATTTTTTTGTCCTTTTTGAGTAAATTAGATGCAATATTGTACTGAATGCTGAAAATTCTTTGCTGTATCATAAGTACTGTTTTTGGAATAAAGCGAAAATTATTATTATTATTACTGTCTCTATTTTACATTTATTTTCTTCTCTGGCTTTGTGTGCTACATGGATAGAGTGTGGTGACTCGAACCGCTGCACACCCGTGCAAAGTAGTTCTATGTTGAAACAAGTCAGTCAGTGAGGATCCGAACTAGGCAGTCTTCACCTCACCACGTAACTGGCACAAACCAACTGTGAAAGATTTTATAGACTGTTCCCAGATTTTGGTTTCATCTATCCCAACCTAATCGTATGTCAACCAATTCTGTTTAACATATGTCCTAACCACCTCAATCGATTCAACTTCACAACCTCATAAAATTGAATTCCTTTGCTTATCATCTAACCTTAGTATGATTCACCATATTACAACACTCAAAGGTTCACCTTGTAACAACAAAGTGTTTGACTCGCAAGGATGAAAAGTCCCGAACTAAGACGAAACCGATATCTTAAAAAGCTGAATCAACAATTTGACCGACTAGGTAATACAGCCAAGCCAGCATAAATAAGCAAAACGCGCGCGCGCGCACGCACTCACACATACACACTTAAAGATACTAATAATAATAAGTACTAAGTTGATTTTATTTCATTTCATATGATTGTTGCATACATCATATATATAATAGAATAAAATCAACACAATGCAGAAATTCAAGTATTGAACCAAAATATTATCAATCGATTAAATAAGTAAGTTAAACAAAGAGGTATATGAAAGACGCTTCTCAATTTTCATGATTATTATTAGTAGTAGTGGTAGTATCGTTATAAATGACAATATTATCAAGGTTCAATATATAAATAACTAAAATTATATTAGAAATAAAAAAAAATATATGTGACTAGAACTCATAAAAAGACGCGGGCGGGCGAGCGAGTGGGTCAGCGGGGAAGGGAGGGAGGGATTTTGTACACGGGAGAAAAAATAAATGAACATATGAAGGGGGACGAGGAGGAAGGCAGGCAGACAGACAGGGCTCGGAGACAACTGGATCTGAACACAGGTAGGCAGATATATTTCGATTTCGGTAATTTTTGGGGTGTACCTATTTTTTTATTGCACCGAGTTTATTTATGTGCAGTGTATAATGCATAATCTAGACTAAAGGGGAATGATGAAAAAATATAAACAACTAACAGGGCATTATATGTATATATAAATGATAAACTGTTCAATGATCAATGGTGTTATTCAATATTCAATTCGAATAGGCACTCTTAAATCATCATCATCATCGTCATCATAATTGAAGGTTGTATAATTCATTGAGCCACCACCACCAGCGAATATTGAACGTCTTGGACTTAAATTATTACTATTATTAGGATTATATATCGACGTGACATCAATTAAATCACGACGTGGAGCATTTTCAAACAAAGCGGCACGATTTTGTTCTTCACCCTTTTTAACCCATTGACTATAAACATCATAAGCCAAAGTGTCAATAATTTTACGTAACTTTTTATTGGAATATGGATCCATTGAAAGTTGATTGACATTCAAGAAAGCTGCATCTGTTTTCAATCGTTTTAGACAATAAATGAAGCCTATCGCCATGATACTAATCTTTATGATTAAAACAAAAAAGGGAAAGAAATAAAAAGAGAGAGAGAAAAGTTAAGTTAATTTATGGAGATATTCGTATCACAACATGTTGAAAATGAAAAACAACTGTGATTCAACGCAAAGGGATTCTTTCTTTTTTCAACGAATTTATAATTTTCAAGTATTAGTCTTGTAGCTGTTTCGTGTGTGTGTGTTTGATTGCTTGGAGGATTTCATCATGAGCTGACATCAGTTAGCGAACCATTGGAAAACCTGCAGTGAGTACTAGATAGCCAGCTGTTTCGTCCTAGTTCGGTTGCGTACTGATGAAGAGTCCAAAAATAGGCTGACGAAACAACTGTCCAGGACTCTTAGAATTTATAATTGATTACAGATGTAACGACAGTAGATAAAGGCCAAGCAACAGATCGTTTATTTAGGAAATCAAGACGTATTTATATGTATTTCATGTACATTTTTATAGATTATTGTTAGCAGAAAAACACAGTCTTCTGATTGGTTGTTCCTCACTGAAAGTTAGTCTTTTATCTCTTTGTGGCTGTTTATTGAATGTCAGATCATCTATCTGCAAATTGTATCCGCCTACGCAAAGTCTGCTGTGATTGATTGTTAAGTCAGTCTTTGTTCTTGTTTTTACGTGACCAATATTTGGGACATAAACATTAAGGTAAATGAATGCCTACCAGTGTGTGTCGGAGGTACAGCGGTTAAAACGCCCACCGACCATGCAAATGTCCGGGCTTCGATCCCCGGCCGCCAACGCACTCCTTTATCTTGCTAAGCCAGAAACAATGCTGGTAAAGAGGAAAGGTTGGGCATGGGACTAGCAATCCCATCCTGTAAAATAATAAACACTGCTACAGAAACTTCAAGCCACTACCTTGCAGCCCTATGTTCCACCAGCAACGACGACGACGAGCAATGTTAGCTGATATAGGATCAGGCTGGAAAAGAGCTAGTGGCGGTCAAACCAAAACATGACTTCACCAGTCAATGAAATCCACAACATTTAGTTTAAGTCACGTAGGAAGGTGTAGACTTCTTGGCTGGTTGGGGTCCTCGAGACGGTAAAAACCAGTGGTCGGAAACATTCGGTGACATGGCTCAAAATCGTTCTCATTGATGGCTGGCGCAGATGCATCCACTCCTTGTGACTTATGATCTCCAATGAAACTGTTTTGTTGTTTGTTATTACTCTTCCTTTATCTCACACCTCTGTTTACTGTCTATATTATGCATTTCTTCTACTTTCTTCTCTTGCATTGTGTTCTACAAGGAGTGGAGTGTGGCGACTTGAACTCCCGCACATATGTGCAAAGTTCTATGTCGAAAACCTACAGACAGACTAGCAACGTGAAGGAAAAAAGTTTGGCTAGCAGCCAGTTATTAGCACTTGTAAAAAATTTATATTTGGCTGTTGATGCCTTATGTTCCAGTCGGAACCTTAGGGAATAATAATAACAATTTTATCTCCATGTCACAGTCGGACCCACTTTAAACTGGTTGATCCTCACCGAAGTTTCGGTCAAGGGCCTGTTGCTGACAGTTGTCACTTGAAATTATCCTCCGCGTGTATATTCAAACCATATCTCCTTCAGTAGGGTCCATCCATCAAGTCGGGTAAGGGAACAGTTTCTTGCCAATGACATTTGGGTGTCGCTTGAGTTAAACATCGCCAATTGGTAGAAGTTTGAATTCATGGGCTGGCCATTGGTTCGGGTCTGAGTGGACAGATGGATTGTCTACGAGCTCGCCTTGTGACCTGAATGAACTGAGTTCGAAACCCGGTGGTGGTGAGTGCTTACTACTGATGACTCCTAAGCAGTAGGAGGAAACAGCTGTCCAGTACTCCCTAGTGATTTTCTAATGGTTCTGCAACCGTTGTAAGCTCATGAGGAAATCCCTTTACCAATCAAATCCCAGCAAACAAACTTTTTTAAAAGACAAAATGTAGAATAAAGGATATGTTCCTTCTGGTAACTCTCTCTTCATCAGGTTTTACATCGAATCAATAACATGAGTAGATTACAGTTCAAAAGCATCTCTGTAAATGATAATACGCATAAATTATACTATAATTCCCTTGGGTTCTGAGTGGAATATAAAGACTGTGACAGGACATCTCCATTTTATTCTGTTCTCTGCAGCCATCTCCAAATGGCTTTTACCGCCTCCTCCTCCTCCTCCTCATACATGTCACTCTCTCGGAGACACACCCTGCTCGTCGTTTCTCATTCGGGTTCCACTTGAAGGCTAGCTAGTCTGGTGCACGATGTCACTCGACAGTCTCCTCAATGTGTGTCTGATTCATCTCCATAAATACAATACATAACACTAAACTGAATATCAGACAAATCAGAAACAATAATAATAATACAGAATTCACAGCAGTGGCGACTGGACCTGTTTCTTTTACAGACAGAGTTCTGATATTAGATCATGTGGTACAAACTGGGTCGTCAAGGCAGTATTGAAGAGTTGTTTTCTATCACGTTTCAATCCTATGCCATATCTTTTACTTCTTTGGCTACCTGGGCAGCCATTCCAGCCGTCTTCGTACATTGTACGGACATTCCACATCCCCAGTCTTATTCTTGCTTAACCCTAAGAATTAGCTTATTCTGAACTCCGTAATTAATTAATTTTTACCCCTTCTTCAAAACTTAGATATCTTAATACTAATATATATATATATATAAGTTGAATTTTTTTGTTGACCTTTTACCGCTTAATTTTACCGCCGACCCATGCATAAAACTGATGGACCAAAATAACCAATCGATCGGTAAAATTCTGATGCAAAAATAACTATGTATCAGTGAAGGGCTAACCGATAATGGGGAACTCATCAACTGAAAAGCAATGCATATTTCTCCGTTCAATTTGTTGTTTTTCCAAAAACCATTGAAACATTTAACTTTAACGAGTTGATCACGGATTGATATCAGTTAGAGAACCATTGAAAACCAGCCACAGGGGTACTGGACAGCTGCTGTTTCATCCTAGTTTGGGAATCATCGCCAGTACGCACCCACTGGGTTTCGAACCCAGGACCTTCCGGTTACAAGGCAAGCTCGTATACCATTCAGCCACTGGGACCCGATTCAATGGCTCGTGAATTCTAACTTCTACTAATTCGTGATTTAGCGCGACCCCAACCATTGTCGTTGGTGGGACATCCATCCACACACGTGACATCTAATTGGACCTCACTGGTCACGACTTCTCACTAGAACTCAGGAATGGATGGTGGATGGATGTCCCACCAACGACAATGGTTGCGGTCGCGCTAAATCACGAATTAGTAGAAGTTAGAATTCACGAGCCATTGAATCGGGTCCCAGTGGCTGAATGGTATACGAGCTTGCCTTGTAACCGGAAGGTCCTGGGTTCGAAACCCAGTGGGTGCGTACTGGCGATGATTCCCAAACTAGGATGAAACAGCAGCTGTCCAGTACCCCCTGGTTTTCAATGGTTCTCTAACTGATATCAATTCGTGATCAACTCGTAAAACATAACTAATCCTTACAAACCAAAACTATAGAAATTTAACTTTAATTTTGAATAAACGGGTAGTGATAAAATCTAATTTAATGGGTGGTAACTAGCAATGAAATCCAGGGTGCGCATTTCGTCCTATTTGAGACTAGTCTACTGGATGTTCATGTATTCAACAGTGAGTAATGGTGTTCCGACTGAAACTTAAACCTAGTACCCATCGCCTCAAACGCCAAAGCATTATCCATTAGATCATTTGGTCTAGTCACCAAATTACTTCAAGTTAGGCCCCAGAACATCGCTAAAGCGTCCGTACTAGGAGTAGACATAACGGTCTAATCAGTCAGCGGGAAAACCGGAAATTGAATTAAAAAACAAATAGTAATAAAGTCTGTTTGAAAATCCTTACTTACACACATAGAAGAAAACAATAACACGAACAAAAAAATGTACATCCCTTTTCAAATAGTGCCTCGTCAGCCGCTCTACGCTGACATTTACACATATAAATGGATGATCAATGAGCTCGAATCGTAACCTCAAGGTAGTAGGTTAGATCCCTAATGGAATGGTGGGTGCAAACTGCAGAAGAGTTAAAAGCAAGTCTGTCTGTCTGTCTGTTTTCGACACAGAACTTTGCACATATGTGCACCAGTTCAAGTCGCCACACACACTCCCTCCATGTAGCACACAAAGCAAGAGAAGAAAGTACAAGAAAAGCATAATAGAGACAGTAAACAGAGGTGTGAAACAAAGAAAGAGTATTAACGAAGAAAAAACACAGTTTTATTGGAAATCATAAGTCAAGTTAAAAGCAAGAACAAGACAAAACCATGATACAATATTCAATACAATTCGAATTTCAGTGATTCTTTACCCAATGTCTACACTGAAATTCGAAGTGTATTGAATATTGTATTGTGGTTTTATATTGCATCAATTCGTCATTTGTAAATACACAGAAATAATGATAATGATGACGGTAACTAGTTAAGATTTTCACAGTTTTTATTCATACGTTTAATTCAAGAAATCTTCAAGTGAACGTAGCAAAGATGAAGGTGATGAAGATACTCAACGGCCAACAATAAGGCACCAATCAACAGAATAAATTTGAAAGAGCGTCGGTGGCACAGTGGTGAGGACTCTCGCCAACCATGCACATGGTTCGGGGTTCGATCCCCTGCTGACGCACACCTGATATCTATGGTCGGCCTGCGAAATTCGGGCTACCGATATCCACGCTGAAAATTCCATACTTGTACCAAAAATACAGTGTGGAATCAAGCTGTAATCAAAAAATTAAAAATTAAATTCACTTATCTCACAACGCAACAGCATTTCAACAAAAAGCAACAACATGGATAAAGATGTTGAAACCAGAAACGGAGAGGCAACGACGCACACCTTCATCAGTCTGAAATCAGTTTTTGATAATCTTTTGCACTAAACTCGGGCATAAACAACAAAATTCGTATTCTCAACACCAATATTAAGTCAATCAGTCAGTCAGTCAATTCTTCTATATGGTTTAAAAACTTGGAGAACGCATCACGAAAAGCATTTCCAACAGGCTACAGATACCTTCTCTGGCTTCATAATAAAGATCAAACGACCGGTCAGAAAGAATTGGCAACAAGAAACTATGCGAACAAACCAACCGGAAGCATATCACTTAACAACTACGACGAAGGGAATGGAGATAGACCTATGAGTGAAATCTCGCGCAATTTAAGCCCTTAGTAGAAGTGGGAGTGTGTGGGCATTGTTACTTCCCGGCTGCCCATACCGTCGAAGTTAAATGATTCTTCAGGTACCTGAAACAGAAAGAGGGTTAGTGTTGCGTGACCACAGACCCCAGGGGACAAGTGCTTACCGCTGATCGGTCACACACGGTCTGTATGAACTGGTTCCTTGCATTTGTTCCGTATTAGTAAACTTACCACCGTAGGGTAAGTCGGGATGTACAATTTTCGGCGTCGACCTTTTCTAACCCCCTCCCTCCTGAGTGTAGAGACAGAATAGATGGCTGGCATGCTGGTCTTCTGAGGGAAACTCCTCACTGCTGTTACATCTCTGTTCCCCAGTAGTACGACTTCGCCCTCAGACCCCCAGCATTGAGTAAGTAAGATTCTTGCACAATTCCGGTAACTGCTTTTAGTCGAATCGCTATTCGAACAACCTTCCTGGTATGGTAGGACCTGCAGGAATATTGGTTCCAGCCCGTGTAGCTTGTTGGGTCATTGTGATGTGCAAGCCCGACCACCACGTCAATGTAGCAGCTAACGGTCCGGGATTCAAGCCCTTAACGAGAACTCGAAAATAAAAAGACGAGTAGGGTGTCTGAAGGTGACATGGAGGAGATCGTGTGACGAGGTGAAAGCCAATAGACAGTTTTGAAGCCAGGTTAAAGAAGACTGCAGACGACAGGATGAAATGGATATGTTACGTTGAAGCCCTATGTTCTACTCGGAACCCAAAAGAACAATAATAATAATAACCATTCAAAAAATGGTCTAGGTGTATATGGATGTCTGTCTGTCCGTTTTCGACATAGAACTCGGCACCGATGTGCACCAGTTCAAGTCACCACACTCCATCCATGTAGCACACAAAACAAGAGAAGAAAGTAGAAGAAATGAATATTAGAGACAATAAACAGAGGTGTGAGACAAAGGAATAGTAATAACGGAGAACAATATAGTTTCATTTGAAATTATAAGTCAAAAGGAGTGGGTGCATCTTCGCCAGCCATTGAGAACGATAATTTTGAGCTAGCCGTATCACTAACTGTCTGAAGGCTTCATTGGTTTTTACCATCCCGAGGACCCCAACCAGCCAAGAAGTCTACACCTTCCTACGTGACTTAAACTAAATGTTGTGGATTTCATTGACTGGTGAAGTCATGTTTTGGTTGACCACCACTAGCTCTTTCCCAACCTGACGCTATGTCAGCTGACATTGCCTGTCAACGAGGAAGGCAATGACTAGGCATATATGCGTAACACATGTCCTAAACATCTCAGTCGATGTAGCTTCACAGCCTCGTCGATTGATTTCCTCTCCTTACCTAGCACTCGACGCCTAACCTCAATATTGATCACCTTATTAATATGTGATACCTAAGTGATAAGATTACGCAATATATATTGCTAAGAGGACACGTACATACTACAGATGAGGTGCACGCATGACTTCTAATTCTTATCGACCGAAAGCTTCTACCTTGACGTGGTGGTCGGGCTTGAACACCGCAATGCCCCAATAAGCTATACTGGCTGAGACTTATGTCTCTCGAGGTCCTATCACGCTAGAAAGGTTGTTTGGAAAGCGGTTAGACTAAAAGCAGCTACCCAATCCAATACCCATGTGATACAAACAAACTCACAAAATATCATGCCGGATCGATCGGGGCCCGGATTAACAACGACCGCGCTTCCTGCTGCCATGTCATAGGGCAGAAGTGATAAATTGATCATTTAAACTTTCTAACGCAATTGGTAGCAAAAAATGTCTCCATTTTCAAGCGAGTTGGAATATTATTTAGAAAATAATAATAATAATAATAATAGGAAATTCGATCAATAATAACCTGTCTCGCCTTACCTTGAATTTACGTTTAGCATTGAATGTAGTCACTCCAACTAAAGGCTAAAAATTTTTAAAAAAATTGAGAAAAGGAAAGAAATATTCAAATGAAACTCGATTAGCAATTCAAGTTCAAAAGGCCTATTTTGAATTATTTGAAAGGAAAACGGTAGCAACAACAACAGCAACAACGACATTTACTTCACCTGTCAGCTTTGGCTGAAAAGTACTTAAGTTCAAAAAACTGAGAGTAATGGACTAACTGACTGATACACACATGCACGCACACACACCTCTGCCTAAAGAACAAGTGCAGTGGCATCAATAGTTCTACTAAAAGCATTGTTTACAGAATTTCATCATGAGCTGACATTGGTTAGAGAACCAATGGAAAACTTCGGAGTACTGGACAGCTGTTTCGTCAGCCTAGTCTTGCACTCTTCATCAGTACGCACCCACCGATCAGGTGTCGAATCCAGGACCTTCTGGTTACAAGGCGAACTCGTACACCATTAAGCCACTGGGACCCGGATACAATGGCCAATGCATGAATTCTAACTTCTGCCAATTCACGATATAGCCCAACCACTAGCCAATGTCTTCAGTGGCGAGTATTTGTCCTCACACCCGAATTGCTGCACCCTACTGGCCCCAAACTAGTCTGACGAAACAGCTGTCCAGTACTCCCTGAAGGTTTTCCAATGGTCCTCTAACCAATGTCAGCTCATGATGAAATCCTGTAAACAATCGACCAAATCCCTATAAAGCAATACTTAAAAGCATTGTGTTGTGCTATTTCAATTCAATGACCTAGGATAGAGCTTTTATTGTAAGTGAGCCGGGATAAGGAGACACAGTTGCCAATTGTGAGCTGTAATGGATGACGGTAGGACTCGAACGGCATAACCAACTGATTGAAAACTAAATGCTTAAACCAGTGAGCTTAATGTCAATCTCAGACAATATGTCTAATCAATCCGTAGATAAACACAAACATATTTACCAAATAAGTTACAATTATTTTTCATCCAGAATGAAATAAGTATGCTGTCTTTCTTTTCATAAATGCATATTCATCATTCATACGGTATATTGTGACAGGTATCCTAATAAAAGGGTCATAAATCAATCATCGCTGTCAGCCACAGAATTGCTTGTGTTCGATAGCATCATTATGTGAGTAATCCTGAGGTCCAGTGGAGTGCGTTTGGACACAGTGGAAATCACCATTCGTTGAGTATCGTCATGACCTGGAAACACAGTCTTTGGTGGCTTGGGGATGTGCTACTAATGTCATCCCAGAGAAGGCTTCCGTACAGGTCTCTGTTCACCAGCCTTAGGAGGGGATGGAGAAAGCGGAGAGGTAGTCAGCCCATGACGTGACGTCGTGGGATGAAGGGTATTTGTGGTAAGTTAGCATCCGTTGGTGCGTCACGACCTCCTTGGTTGGGGCCCGAGAGATAGGTCGAATCGATGACTCGAAACATTATCAGATATGGCCAAAAGTCACAATCAATGGAGAACGCAATGCGATTTTTATCTTTCTTCTCTTTCAGACAATAATTCGACGAACAGTATTTGGTCTCGTTAAAAATAACTGCTTCTTTCACAGATGAAGTCCACTATTCATCCTCTACCTGTATTTTCTCATATTTCATTTTATTACTAGTGTGTGTCACATCCTCTTGGTGCCTATATTATACAAGGTTTTGTGTTTTAGATAGAAAACAAATAAATCGTAATAAAAGTGAATTGAGATAGTGAAAATTTACAGCACTGAGGGATTTTTCAGGTATGTAGTTCTGTTCTCTGAGTCGGATGGACAGTTTCACTGAAAAGCTTTCACAGTCCTCCTAGATAACATTCCCAGAGGTAACTTATATACAAAAACACAAGCTTTTAACACACTCCAAAAGTCAAATGTGACGCATTTAGAAGAAAAAAATTGAACGGGAGGGGGCAAGGTGAATGATACAATGACTGGTAAAAGAAAACATCGGTGGCGATTTGGTTCATCGGCTTAATTACTCGATTTCCAGTTGATGAGCTTCAGTTTCAAGTCGCACCTAATAATCTACTTCAGTCTGGGAAACTTATCCAAACTTCAGAAAATAAGTGTGGCTCATAGCTCGGTACCTACCTGTTACGTGTAACTGAATTCTAACTAACTAATGATTGGTTTTTACTTCAAGTGTTGGTTTGCAGGGATTTAATTGGTTACAGGATTTCAACATGACCTGACATTGATTACAGAACCACTGGTAGAACAGGTTGGGTGTGAGGACAAATACCCCCTCCCGCTGATGACATTGCTTAGTGGTCGCGGTATATTGTGAATTGGCAGAAGTTGGAATTCATGCGTTATTAGATCGGACCCCAGTGGGGCTCAACGGTCTACGAGCTCGCCTTGCAACCGGAAGATCCTTGGGTTCGAACCCTTGTGGAGGGTGCATACTGCCGAAGAGTCCCAACTGGGACGATACAGTTGTCCAGTACTCCCTCATGGTTTTCCAATGGTTTCCTAACCGATATCACCGCATAATTTTTATTTATTTTACATATTTCTAACGGACGGTTATCAAAGACAGTGGAGACACTTTGTACGATTCACATGTATTCCAAGTGACGCGTTTATAAAACAAAGGATTCTCTATCTTTACCTGATTGAACGGTTTCAACACAGAACTTTGCAGAGAAGTTCACAAGTTGTTCCACCTGTCATACTTTATGTAGCACAACAAGGGGTAGCGTGAAGAAGATTCGAAAGAAATGCGGAGGGGGGCAGGAAGAGTACTAACAAGAATATGGGAGATTACAAGCAGTGGTGAATACATCTACAACATTGAGAATGACCTAGAGCCATTGATTGCTAGCGTTTCAAGGACCTCAAACAGGCAGCCTATACCTCCCTATATTACTGGCTTAAACCAACTACCTGTTTGAGGAGAAAAAATGATTAGTCATCAGCAAGTACCAACACAATATATAATTAAAAATATTGTACAGAAACTACGAAATTACGTCATCTTGCCAAACTTATCTTCTGAGTAAGTGATTTTTTAACTCATAGAAAATTCCCATTGTAACATATAGAAAATCAAAACAAGTGATTCAGCGAAGAGACTCTTTTCAACGAATTTATCGTCAACCTGTACAATCGTATATATATATATATATATATATATATATATATATATATATATCATGAAAAGAAGGATATCACAGTCCCTGAAAAGAACATTCCCTGCTGCACCTCTGAGAATAGCCTTTACTAGTCGCCCACCATTACTGCTCAATAACCTGAAGGACAAGATCCCTCTCTTGACCAACTCTATGTGTACTTATCAATTCACCTGCTCGTCTGGAGCTAGGTATATCGGTCGGTCGACTCGAGTTTTGTCCAAGAGGGTGCAAGGACACTATCTGGTATGGTTACGAAAAGGTGGAAGTGGAGAAATAAGAAGCGCAATCATTGAACATCTGGTCGATAATGATCACCCTATCTTCTCTATAGCCTCCGCCTTTAAAGTCATCTACAAGGCAAAGAGTAATTTACCCAAATCTCTACGTACTCAACTCATCTCTATTGCTGAAGCTTTGGCTATTGAAACAGAAAAGTCAGATCTCTGTGTACAGAAAAAGTTCGTTCAACCCCTCCAACTTACATGGTCTTAATGCGTCTAAGCTAAAGTATGGTAATCCACAATCATATTTTGGCTCTACCAATTTTCATTTTTTCATTTTGTCTATTCATTTTGAATGCTCTTCCTTTATTACGTCAATTGTCACTATTACTACTCTCACTTTGAACTGTTCCCGGTATTATTTCACTTGTTCCACTTGTCATTCGAAATCAATTCTTTTTTACAACGTTAAATTGTATGCTACCAAATTTCACATGATATTACGCAACGTTTTTATTTTTATTCGATTTGTCTACTAATCCTTATTCAAGTTCTATCCATCCTATGGATTATTTTAAATATGACATTAATTTGTTTTGCCACTTGACATTTAACTGTGATTATAATCACAAACATTTTAATTTTATTTGCATTTCCTACTATTATTATCATTTTATGCATTCACACCTAAGATTCAATTCCCTCATCGGATATAACTTCTTAAAAATAACCACATATATCTGATTGTACAGCTTGATAATAAATTCGTTGTTGAAAAGAGTCTCTTCGCTGAATCACTTGTTTTCATTTTCTAAAATGTCACTACATGCAATTACACACAACCATACAACAGGACGGCTGGGATAAGATGACAGTTTTAAAATCTAATGCAGCAGCAGGGTGGAGAGAGAGAGATTGATAACAAAAGCTTTGTTTATCATATCAACAGCAAGCACGTGTAATAGGAATGATTCAACACCTGTCCAGTTGGACATCTGCAAAATGCATTCTAGTACCCCTACGACGACGTATAAGACGGAATAAAAAAAACTACAAAAGGAAAGTTTCAAAGTTATGTTGTTACACCTTGATGACATGATTATGAACAATGATTGTGTTCGAAACCTTGTCATCCAGTAATTAATAATAATACTGTTTCACTAACTGTGTGATATATCCATCTAATAAACAAACTAATATGAAATTACCCACTACCACAGTCAGTGCCCAAGTTTTAAATGTATTCTTTTGGAAGTATGCATTATTCAATTTTCCTAACTCTGAGCACAAAATTTCGTCAATGTGTTGTTATTATTATTGTTCCATCGGGTTCCCAGTGAAACATAGGGCTTCAACTGGACGTCTCCACTTGCTTCTGTCTTCCTTCTGCTGTACTTTTCACATGAATACATCTTAGTCCATACTCTTTCAACTCCTCCATGTCACCCACCCTTGGACACGTCCCACTCCCCGCTTCTCTTTCGACCTGGTTCCACTCGAGAAATGGCCTGACGCGCGCGCGATGTCACCCAGCGGCCTCCTCAGCGAGCGAGTGTCTAATCCATCCGTCTCCACTTTCTTCTGCATATTTGCTGCTTGGCGATTGCTTCTTGTTTTGTTTGTTTGTTCCCATAGTTTCTTGTTGGTGATTCTTTCCGGTCTGGCCATCTGATCTTCAGTATAGAGCCAGCGAAGACAGTTGTTAATGATGAAGGTCTGCAATAGCCTGTTGGAAATATTTTTTGTGACCCGCCAAGTTTTTGATCCGTATAGAAAAAGTGACTTGACGTTTGTATTGATGCTGACTGACGAGGATATCCAGGTTGGTTTCAGGTTGATGAATGTGTTTCTCGCCTTCCCGATTCTCGATCTGACATCCTTGTCAGTTCCTCCTGTAGTTGAGATAATGCATCCCAGATAAATGAATGAAATAACCTCTTTCAAATCCCTCCCGTTGATGGTGATTGGCGCTGGATGTTGCTGTTGTTGTTGTTGGTGGTTGGTTATTTTCATAATCTCCGCGCCTTTTCTATGTTCATCTGGAGTCCTGTCTTTGTCGACTGCTTCCTCGACCGGTTTATCGGTTTTCACTTGTAAGTCTTCGATTTTGTGTGACATGTGTTGTTGCACAGTGCAAAATCAATTCGATAACAATGCATGAATGAATAATCAGCTTTCCGTGCACACACTGTTGTAATTATATTCCAGTTCTATTTCTATAGAGATACTCTGATCATCATTCAATTATGATTCTGTCAACAAGAATTACGCATGCACACACAAATACACATATACACAATGAAGGTCAATAATGTGATATTTTTATGTATTAACATTAATAATATTATTATTAAGTAATTCAAACATTTCTAGTAACCATTATCATTTATATTATAATTGTACTTAGACTGGCTTTTCATTATTGACAGGAAGGAAAAACAACAAGTGATATGTGATGAGTATGTTTCAGGGCAATAATTATTACAAATTCAGTTACCAAGGTATTAATGCAAAGCTTATTATGTAATGCACCATGATAACTATTCAACTGTTTGGACTAAAGTAGGTAAAGTAGGGACTTAGAATTCAAGACTTATTGAGGACAATAATGAAATATTACTTTTAACGACTGCTTAGAATTAAATACTGACTGACTGGCTGGTTTTAACATAGAACTTTGCACCGATGTGCACCAGTTCAAGTCACCATACTCCCTCCATGTAGCACACAAAGCAAGAGAAGAAAGTTAAAGAAATGCATAATAGAAACAGTAAATAGAGATATGAGGCAAAGAGAGTAGTAATATCGAAGAACAATATAGATTTATTGGATGTTACAAGTCACAAGGAGTGGATGCATCTTCGCCAGCCATTGATAACAACTTTGAGCTATATCATCAATTGTCTCCAGCCTTCTCATTGGTGTTTACCTTCCGGAGGACCCCAACCAGGAACTTTACACCTTCCTACGTGCCTGGCCTAAACTAACTGTTTTGGATTTACTTACAGGATTTCATCATGAGCTAACATTGGTTAGAGAACCATTGGAAAACCTCGGATTACTGGACGGTTGTTTCATCCTTGTTCGGGATTCCTCAACACGACGCACCCACCAGCGTTCAAACGCAGGACCTTCTGGTTACAAGGCGAGCTCGTAGATCACTAAGCCACTGCGACCCCACCCGATCCAATGGCTCATGAATTCTAACTTCTACCAATTCAGGATATAGCCCAACCCCTAGCCAATGTCTTCGGCGAGTTTTTGTCCTCACACCCGACCTGTTGGACCCTACTGGTCACGACTTCCCACCAGAACCCCAGGTAACTACCTACCTGAATAGGGCCAGTTGCCAGTAAAATTAGACAAAGAAATTATTGATTTTTAGTCTACGTACAGAGTAGCGGTTTCAAAATTCACACCAAAATCTTCCTTGATGTCTCCGAAATATTTTTTTCCTACTGCGACTTACTGTCCGTTTAAGCTTAATTACCCAAGAACAAATGTTTCATGTAACACACATCATATGAGGGCTGGGCAGGCTGTATTTAACAGAGCAGGACTCTAACCCGCGACTTATTGGCTAAAAACTGAGTGCTTAAGCTAATGAGCCGCATCCCCACATTTGGAGGATTTACTGGATACTTCCACCTATACTGTATGTATACACTGCACCATTTACTGTGATAAAAACATTTCGAACTTGTCTAACAAAAGTAGAGCGTACAGAATACGTTGGATCCAAAGTACAGTGGTTAGAACGCTCGCCGACCATGCACTTGGTCCGGGGTTCGATCTCCCGCCGACGCACTCCTTTACCTCGCTAAGCCAGAAATAAACCTGGTAAAGAGGAAAAGTTGGCCATGAGGCTGGAAAGCAACCCCATCCTGTAAAAATAATAAAACACTGCTAAACAAACTTCAAGCCTCTAGCTTGAAGCTCTGTGTTCCACTGGGAACGTTAAGGAATAAAAAAAATATAAAAAGTACACCTACGGAACGCTAAACACAATAGAAAATTAAGTACTACTTAATAAAGTATACACAAATTGCAGACGATGAAATCATAGTGAATATTAGAAATGAGTATACCCACTTCACAAGGGGTTGCTTCATTTCATTTGTTGAGTAAAAGCTGATATACTGCCCGGGCGTTCACACCGAAGCAGGAGGTTTTCTTAAGGAACCATCCCCTGAGCCTTTGACTTGGAGTCTAATCCCCAAGGTAGCGGAGCAGCGTTTCCATGGCTGCCGGTGACCAATATAGGTTCATACGCCATTTGATCCGATTGGATTCCGGAGCCCATGTACTCCATGGATAATTGCTTTTAGTCTAACCGCTATCCAAACAACTTTCCTGACATGGTAGAACCTGCAGGAACATGAGTCCCAGTCAGTTTAGTTTGTTGGGTCACTGCGGTAGTCAAGCCCGACCACCACGACAAGGTAGCAGTTGTCAGTCAGCCGGGTTTCACAAGAGGTACACCAATTTTATCATAACTTGGATAGTTGGATCACTTAAACTACATTGTAGTAATCTAAAAGCTTCAGAAGCTAACAATAACTTTGCGGTAAAAGTGTCGGTTAACGGGTGTTAGTTACTCTTACAAGGCGATAAAAAAATAAATAAATAAAGTAAAAGTGAAATCCAACTCTATGGAACAACCACTTGACTTTCCACTATGCAGCTGGGGATGACGGCTGATGATAGACTACCTCATCAATAAGTAGGGCAAGATTCGAACCTTTATTCTACTAGTTAGCATTCCAGTGTCTAGAATAATGATAAGCGAAAGTTCTACGCTATTTGGTCACAGTAATCAAAAATAAATTCAAAAACCAAAAAAATTACAGCAATGATACAAATGGCATAAGTAGCAAATGAATAAGGGAAAGATGAATATAACTCGAACGTACTTGTTGTAAGAAAAATTCATGCTTTAAAGATTCCACAGCTGTTAATCTTGTTTTAGCATCGACAACCAAGATTTTACATATCTGTGCGTAAACAGGAATACATATATTGAAAAGAAAAGAAAGAATAGTCAGTCTCATTACTTTCTAATAATACATTCAGTATACACAAACCAAGTTCAATGTCTGTCTGTCTGTCTGTTTTGAAGGCTTCGTGTGCTTTTGGAAGTGTGTGAGCGGTTGTTACTTCCCGGCTGCCCCACCAACACCGTGGAAGTTGATTGATTCTCCGGGTACCTGAAGTAGAAAGAAGGTTAGTGTTGCGTGACCGCAAAGCCCAGGGGACAACTACTTGATGCTGGCCGGTCACACACGACCTATATGAACTGGTTTCTGGGATTGGTTCCGTATTAGTAAACTTACCACCGGTTACGGACCACCGTAGGGTAAGTCGGAAAGTACAATTTTTGGGGTCGACCTTTTCTAACCCCTTCTCTCCATAGCGGAGAGACAGCATAGATGGCTAGCGTGCTGGTCATCTGAGAGAAACAAATCACTGCTGTTACGCCCCTGTTCCCTAGCAGTACGACTTCGCCCACAGACCCCCAGCATAGTGTAAAAAGGAAAAATTCTTACACTATCCCGATAACTGCTTTTAATCTAATCGCTATTCTAACAACCTTCCTGTCATGGTAGGACCTGCAGGAACATTGGTTCCAGCCAATGTAGCTTATTGGGTAATCGCGATGTGCAAGCCCGACCACCACGTCAAGGTAGCAGCTATCGGTCGGGGCAAGTTCAATAAGTAAATATGTAGTTGACTGACGGAATTTGCAATTTGGAACTTTGCGCAGAAATGTAGCAGTTTAAGTTATCAAATTTCCCAGAATATGAATAATTACATGAAAAATCCATGTATCTGCGTCATTGAGATAGGTTTGCGTCATATCATTAACAGTCAGTCTGTAGCCATTGGTTCTTAGCACACCGAGGACTTCAATCAAGCAGTCTGTGACTTTCTAAGTGACTTAAAACACCAAAGACTTGGTCTCATCTTGTGGATGCGACAGAACACAAGATTGACGTTAACCATGCTTTCAGGATCATTTCCGTATACCTACGAATCTCAATTCTGCTTTAAGAATTCGTCTACTAAATATTGCTGAGGCTGGCTGTTGGAATCCATATTAACAAGCCTAATTGATGCATCCAAAAGAAGTTAGTTCAGAAATTATCCTTACCTTGGCCATCTCGGTTTGAGTGATCCTGAATTTTTGTGGAATTTTCCTAATTTTAGTTGATATTCTATTCGCTACTATATCTTTATTATTATTATTATTTGAGCATCTTTAATGAACTGTAATTCCATTGTGATCATACTTTACGAATCGATATCATTTAAAAAACACTAATATTGTTAGTGACTACTAATTCTAGAATATTCTATGTATATAAACATGCATATACAATTGTAGAGCCAGAAGAGGAGGAATTTATCGAGAAGGAATATTCTTTTGCTCAATTATTTTGTGTTTCATAAATGTCTGAATGAATATTTTTGCCATAAATATATTTCATTGAGTCTTAGAATAGAACTCGGAACAGAAGTACAGCAGCTCATGTTGCCACACTCCATGTAGCACACAAAGGGTAGAGAAAAGAGAGATTCAAAAGAGGTTTAATGAGAATAAATCTACTGGAGAAAAATGATGACACTTAATGGACTTGAGAGATTACAGAGTGAATGCATCCGGGCCATTAAGAACGATCTTAATCTTTGTCAGTAGTAATCCCATGCTATTGTTTCTTAGTGCATCGAAGACCCCAGCCAGACAATCTGCACCCTCTTTACATGACTAGAACACCAACAGTCAAAATCTGAATGGATTGATGCCAGATTTGGATTTGACGACATCGAACTATTTTCAAATTTAATCCCATGTCAGCTGACATCGCTCCTCGACAAGGAAGAAGGTGGATTGACATGGGTAACACGTGTTGTGGTCATCTTAATCAATGTAGCTGCACAATCTCTTTGTGCATGACGTCACATCTGAACATGCATATCAGCAGCTGAAAGTCGATAGTCTAAACTGATGAGCCACATATTTACAATGATTTTTAGTTTATGAGAAAAAAAACATCTACTGGGGGATTGTTTGACTTTCCTGACAATCTAATATATCTCACTCTAATAAGCTATTATTATTGTTTCCTTTAATTCCTAGAGGAACATTGGGCTTCAGCCGTGCGTCTCCATTGCGTTCGGTTTTCTGCCAACGTTTTCACCTGGCTCCAAGTCTGCCCACCGCTTTCACCTCCTCTTTACATGACCTCCTCCATGTCACCCTCCCCACTGACGACCAATTCGCCGCTTCCCTTTCGGGTTCCACTCGACGGCTTGTCTAGTGATGTCACTTGATGGTTGGTTTCCTCAGAGTATGGCCGGTCAATCCACCTCCATTTCTTCCTGCTTATTTGTTGTTCAATCGGTTCCTGGTTGGTCCGCTCCCAGAGATCCTTGGTGCTCATCTTTTCTGGCTATCTGATCTTGAGTATTGAGCGAAGACAACTGTAAATGAAGGTCTGTAGTTTGTTTGAGATTCTCTTTATGACGTGCCAAATCTCTGATCTGTATAGTAGCACCGACTTCTCATTGGAGCTGAAAATCCGAATCTCTAATGAGCTACAACATTATTTGATTATTATTTATTTTACTCCTTTACATTCCCAGTGCAACATAGGGCTCCAAGCTACAGCTGTGAAGTTTCGGTAGCAGTGCTGTTTATTTTTACGGGATGGGGTTGCTAGCCACCCCACTGCCCAACCTTACCTCTTTACCAATCTTATTACTAACTTAGACAGGTTAAAGAGTGTGTCGGCCAAGGATCGATCCCTGGAACATGTATATGGTTGGCGAGTATTCTACTGCTGAACCACAGACGCACAAGGTCATAACATGCAGCATAAAAGTATGCTGAGGGTTTGTGAATATGTGTGTTGTGTAGACCTGTCATATTTAACAAAAAAAATGCTTGAGTAGCATCAAGAAATTATCTGTTCAATACAACCTTAAGTTCTGCTACCTGTCTACTTTCTGATGATTTCTTTCGTAGGCACAATGGAATTATTTTCATTGGACAGTAGTAACTAATGTGACGTGTCTAGTCCTTTACTTTGGTGCAGACTGAATCCTATCAGTCAGGTTTGCAAGGTGGCCACCATTCTAGGTAGCTCGCCATCACGGTGCATATTGATTTGATGATATTAGGTAGTTGGGGGCAGTCGGCAGGAAGCTGTGATATGCACTGTGATGGCAAGCTACCTGGAATCGTGGCCAAATTGCAAACCTGACTGACAGAATTCAGTCTGTACTAAAGAAAGAACAAGACACGTCACACTAGTGTCCAATGAAAATACCCACTACATTCCTAAAGGAGGTCAATCGCGAGCCCGAATAGCTCAGTCTCTGACTGACGCGGGTTCGAATCTCAGAAGGAGAGACAAGAGTTCCTTCAAGGTTGCAGATACGCCTTGCTCACTGATGAGTGCCAACTAGCACGAAACCTAGGTCAAGCAAGGCTTCCTGTGGCCGATTGCCTCCAACTCTGTGCAAGTATGTTAAAATTGTTGTTGTAGATATATTTAATAATGTCTTTGCCATGTAAGCAGCTGACGAGAAGGCAACGAAATAAAAGATGGTACCATTTTATTCTGCTAAAACTGTAGTTCTTGCTTTATTCAAATAAGTATAAAACTTGGGAAATGCGGTAGGGTGTAACTCTATTACGGATAAGATTTTATTTTGATAAATCACACAGTTGTACAGTAATACTAACTGATGACGTTTGGAGCACAAACTATTACTCATAATCATATCACGGTACTCACACTGCGTCGGTGGCACAGTGGTTAGGACTTTCGCCGACCATGCACATGGTCTGGGGTTCGAGCCCGCATCGACGCACACCTGATATCTATGGTCGGCCTGCAAAATTTGGGCTACCGATATCCATGCTGAAAATTCCATACTTGTACCGAAAATACAGTGTGGAATCAAGCTGTAAATCAAAAATTAAATTAAAAAAATTATATACATGTGTGGAATCGATTAAATTTTGGAATAAAAATCAATATGAGATAATGTACATTCAGAAATAATAAAATAAATAAAAGTTATCTGAGTAACCTGATATGATTATGAGCAATGATGTGCTCGAAACGTCATCAGTTAATATTACTGAGCAACAGGGTGTGATTTATCAAAATAAAATCTTATCCATAATGGATTTATGTAATATCACAATGGAATTATGAAAACTAATTCACTGAAACAATTTACAATACCATACAAAGTCAATCTGAGCAAATATAACTTACCAAGTCTTTCGCAGATTCACTAATATCATCCCATTCTGGACTGGGAAAAGAAAATCGACCTTCCATAATTTGACGCAACATTAAGTGTTCTTTACGATTCCAAAATGGAGGACAACCTGCCAAAAGGGTGTACATAATTACACCACATGCCCATATGTCGACAGGTTGACCGTAAGGAGGTTGGTCTTCATAATAACCACACATTAAAACCTCTGGTGCTAAGTAACCTGGTGTTCCACGAGTTTCTGAAAGGCAAAAATTGATTTGAAGCAGGAGGAAAAGTGAACCATTTAAAGGAAATGTTTGAAACGGCATTTGCACTTGTGACACGGTGAAAATCGCGAGAAAAGCGTGAAGTATAACAAGTAGGTAGTATGTAGCTATAAATTAGGACGATAATATTAACTGGCTGGATTATGCATAGGAGTGAATCTGATTAATTTCTAGATAGTAACAATGGATTCAGTTACTGCAAATGAATTAAATGCCAATTATGTCGACAGCATGTCTTAGCACTTATGAAAGCGTGACACGAAGCACCAGGAACAGCCTGTCTGTCTGTCTGTTTTCGACATAGAACTTTGCACAAATGTGCGGAAGTTCAAGTCGCCACACTCCGTGTAGCACGCGAAGCAAGAGAAGAAAGTACAAGAAAAGCATAATAGAAACAGTGAGAGAGGTGTGAGACAAAGGAGTAATAAAGAAATACAAAACAGTTTCATTGAAGATCATAAGTCACAGGGAGTGGATGCATCTGCACTAGCCACTGAGACCGTTCTCAATGTTGCTCACCTTATTATGCCACTTTACACGGGAAATAGAGCGCAGGCACCTATGATCAAAGACAGCTAGTCTTTTCATGTCTTCCACTCTCAGTGGCCAGGTCTCACAACCATAAAGGAGGACGGAGCGGACTGATGAGCAGTACACCCGCCCTTTGGTCGATAGTCGAACATCTCGTCTACGTCAGAGTCGGCGTAAACTAACAAATGCGAAACGAGCCCCTTGTATTCGTGCTGAGATTTCGTCAGAGATCAGCCCGTTGGCACTGGCTGATGGTACTTCCCAAATAAGTGAAGCGGTCAACGTGCTCTACCACTTCACTTCCTATTTTTAAACTAGGCGTCGATGTAGTCCAGTCCTGTAACATCATCTTGCATTTGGCGGGAGCGAATCGCAGGCGAAACATTCGTAGATTGCAGATCAAGGTGTTTAGAAGACTCTGCATTTCGTCAGCGTCTTCGCCTAGAAGGACTATATCGTCTGCATATTCCAAGTCAACGAGATTATTCCCCGGTAGCAAGTCAATCCCTGAGTCGCTGAAGTCACCTAGGGTTAAGTCCATTAACACATCTATGATGAAGTTGAATAGAAAAGGAGATAATGGGCATCCTTGACGGACACCACTAGTCGTCATCAGTTCAGATGACAGCTCGCCGTAAGCCCTCACCTGGCTGTATGAGTACGAATAGAGTGCCTTAATCAGTGCAATATATTTTCTTGGAATTCCCTTTACAGCCAAGCATCTCCAGAGAACTTCCCGATCGACAGAGTCGAATGCTGCCTTTAGGTCAAGAAATATAATGACTGTTGGACGCCGGTAGGAATGCCTATGTTCTAGAATCTGTCGGAGGGTGAAGATATGATCAATACACCCTCTTCCTGGTTCAAAGCCTGTCTGGCCCTCTCGTGTTTGCTCCTCCCGAGCACCACTCAGTCTACGCATGATTATTGAGCCTAAGACTTTAGATACTATATTAGTCAAGCTAATCCCTCTGTGATTATCACACGAAGACTTGTCTCCCTTCTTGTATATGGGGATAATCAGTGACTTACACCAACCCGATGGGACTTCTTCTGATTCCCAGACGCTGCCTAGTACCTCAGTTAATCCGGACAGTAAGCTGTCTCCACCGTACTTAAATACCTCCAGGAACAGTGAAACCACTCGAGCCTCGATAGGTAGGGGGAAATAATAATTTGCTTTATTCCATAAACAGTACTGGTGGTACAGTGTGAAATTTTCAGAACATATCTACAATATTGCATCCAATTTTATCAAACATTTAAAAAGGAGTATTTCGAAAAATAAATATAAAAAACAACAAAATGAACACAAAATAGCAAAAAAATGCGAAAAAATACCACATAAGATGGAAAATAAACAACAATAATAAATAATATTTCAGTATTGGGTAATGGAAGCTATGATATGTGTATGCGAGGTGAACAGTAAAACTACATCATACAAGAAGTTATGAAATGTTCTTAAGAATGTTTATCCCATGATCAGTTGGTTTGATTGAACAATACCAAACAATCATAAAATAAACATGTTTTTTTTATTGTCAGCACTAATGCAGTGTTCGTAGTGGTAGCGTGAGTAATCCTGCACAAAACAAAATTTTTAAGATAGTGATAATGGCGTTCACAACCAAGATTGTCAGTTAATATTGCGGGGCAAAAAACAACCACAAAACTAATATTACATGATGGTTAATGACGGGACAATTTTGTAATAATCCTAGTGCTAATATAGTCGGAACCAGTAGATACACAAAAGAGGGAATAGAGTAAAGTATAAAAAAGTAAGTCAATGTTAATAATTTAGGTAGCTAAGCATGCTTAAGAATGTGTTCACTATAAAATACGAATAAGAGAGAAATAAAAGAGCAAAAATTATGTTATTAACAACAAAGCAAGTCATAGGTTTCACGCTTAACATTGTCTCTGTCACTTAGAACACGGGCCAAATATGGTATCGTTGAGTTCCTATACTTGGTTATACGAGCATATATTGTTTTTTACTGATTTCTGGTTCTACCTGATGAGATACAATGAGAGAGTTGGGAATAGAGGGGGTGCTGGGGGTTGGAGAGTATAGTTTTAGACCATTTTGCACATGTATTCAAATTAACCGTTTCACTTCGTGAAAAACTAATAGAAAGTTTCAAGGTCTAGTTGTAGAGTGTTAATGAATGGATTTGTAGGCGAAGTTAAAGTATCATAACCAAAGGCAAGGTCTTTCAAAAGGTGACCTTCGAGAACCGATCAGACACATGAGATGCTATGAAAGGTTATTCCAAATAAAATCATGCCTGCCTTTTTCGGACCTGGAGAGCACAGATACAGTATTCTACTTATTTAATAGATACTGCTTCTGCAAATTTATACTATTAGGTAGGATTATGGCTTTTAAGATTAAGGTTTGGGAGCTAGAGTAAAGAGGTTAGGCTTAGGGCTAGAGCTAGGATTATGGTTAGAGTTAGGAGTAGGCTAAAAGAAAGTGTCAGATATATAAATGGATTTAAAAGGACCATGACCTGCAGTCACCTGGATGCACGGGTCCCTGTAATCGAACATAATCCCTACAAAACCAATACTAGAAAATTAATCTGATGCTCATTAGCGACTGGTCCTATTCAGGCAGTTAACCTGGAGTTCTAGTGGAAAGCCGTGACCAGTAAGGTACAGCAGGTCGAAGATGAAGCAGTAACTCATCAAAGAAGACATTGTGAAATGGAAGCGATATGTCGTGAATTGGCAGAAATTAGAATTCAAGAACCATTGGATCAGGTTCCGGGAGCTCAATGGTCTACGAGCTAGCCTTGTAACCAGAAGGTCCTGAGTTCGAACCCCTGTGGTGCGTACTGCTTAAGAGTCCCAAGCTAGGACGAAACAGCTCTCCAGTACTCCCAGCCTTTCCAGTGGTTCTCAGACTGATGTCAGCTCATGATAAAATCCTCCATGAATGGGTATGTCGTGCATGGTACGGTTTATCCATAGATCATCTATTTATGGAATGGGAGACATTCTTACAACATAAGCTACTGTTATACAGTTTAATATCAAGTTTCAGCGGTACTTTCAGCGTATTTTTCAACGATTATGAGACTTTTTACATCTGAATTCTGATTGGTTGTTAAATGTCACTGTGGTTTTGGCTATGATAGTTTAACTTTGCCGGTTTGCAATTAGGTAGATAAGCAAGAAAGTCGGGCTATGCTTTGGTGATTCTTTTCCTAAAAACTGAAATAAGAATCAGTTTAATGTCATAGAACCAGCAAATTGAATCTTAAATTTAGTATTTATTTTACTTCTTACTCAAGTGTATAGATGAAAAGTAGCTTAAATCGGATAAGTGATTACTGTATTTACTTTCAATAATATCAATACGATACTAATATGTAAAATACTTCTAGATATTTCCCAATGAAAAAGTATCGAATAACCTCAAGGTTCAAAGACAAGTTAATATTCGTGTTCTAAAAGAGCAAATTAAGCATATATTGCATTGGTAGCACAGCAGCAGCATGATCGCCAATCACGCATATGCTTCGGGATTGGGTCCTCGGACAACACACTTCTTTATCTCACTAAGCCAGTCATAACACTTGTAAATTAGCAATGCTGAGCTTGAGGCTAGCAACCCCATCCCGTAAAAATAAACACCACTGCTACCGAAACTTCAGAACTCTAGCTTGAAGCCCTATATTGCACTGGGAACGTAAAGGATTTAAAAAACCATATAATGAATGTCAGGTCATTTGAAGTGACCATGATTACAGCCACAGTTGACATGGAGAGTTGAAAATTTGTGAAAATCTGATTAAATTCAATGTGATTTTAATAAACTGACTAGTTTCAGCATAGAATTTTGCATACACTTGCAGCAGTTCAACCTGCCACTCTCTATATATCACAAAAAGCAAGACGACAGGTTCAAAAGAGAGATAATAAACTGAAGTGCGAGTGAGGAAAAAGAAACAGTAATTTGGTGGAAGAACAATAGCTTTTTTTGGATATGAATAATCACAAAGAGTGAATATATGTGTGCCATTGAGCATGAAGACTTCGAGCCGTACCACCAGTCGTTATTTCTTACCATCCCGAGGATTCCCACCAGAAAGTATGAGCCTCCCCACATGGACCACACTAATGGTCAGAGATTTCATGAACTAATTCCAACTCTGTCCCAACACTAAACCCAACCCTCAGATTCGCACCTTAATATCATTCATCCTATTGTATCACCTAATATGGGAGACAGGATACAAATGCCTATGACCAAAGACAGCTAGTCTTTTCATTTCTCCCACTTTCAATGGTTATAACTGACAGCTATAAAGGAGGACGCGGTGAACTGCCGAGCGGTCCATTGGTCGATGACTTGATGCTAGTAAGAGATGCTGGGGTGTTGGTTATATTTTAAAAAGTACGGAAAATCCTCTACGATCATAACGTCAGAGACTTACAACTAAAAACAAATGCACTGTCAAGTTAAATTACGTTGAGCCTTAAATAAATAAAAAAACAGCTGACTCATATGACACATACCTCGAAGTTCTTCTTCGTCGTCAACAAATACAGCCAAACCGAAGTCCGTAACTTTAATGTTTAAGTTATCATCAAGAAGAATATTCTCCGGTTTGAGATCTCGATGAACTATTTGACGATCATGTATGAAGTTAACAGCATCGAAAAGTTGTCTCATTAAAGCACGCGTTCGTTTCTCTGAAATGATGACATTGTGTGTTAGATAATCAAAAAGTTCACCCCCTTGGCATCTAAAAGCGTGAGTGTATATAAATATATAAAAAACACCTACATTTCAGAAACTAAAAATATATATGCATCACCCTCGAAAACATCGTGGATTTTTATAATATTAGCATGATCCACTACTTTGCGCAAGATTGCTACCTCCCGCATACACTCTGAGCGAATAACATCCGGCGTATCAACGCCACTGTTTAGATCCAAAATTTTGACGGCATATTCACACTTGGAATCTTTTTCTATACAACGTCGCACAGTGCTGCTAGCACCCGAACCAAGGATATCACGTACTTCATATCTTGAATAAAAAGACTCCGCTAAACGGAGGTCCGCAACGACACCATCTCTTTCAGGACAAGAAATTGTCATACCACTACACTTCCCAGTGACCACGGAAATGAGATACAACTGGGAAAAGACAACCAGCGATACAATCTGACCGCCGTTGGGGTTATGAACGAAAGACCGCCACTTTTTCCCCATCAAATCTTCAACGTAACCAAATAGAAGTCTCAGATTCAGATTATAAAGATAGAAGGCTCTTGTTGCCCGTGTTAATCCTTGCAATATATACCTCTGCAGAGAGCCAGTTTTTTTTGAAAGCATTCACCGATAGAGCTGTTACTACTGTATCTGGTAAGGAGTTCCAGTTGTTGACCACTCTGTGGGAGAATCTAAATCCCACAAGTGTTTTATTCGACCTCGGTTCGAGCATCTTCTTTTGGTGACCTCGTAAATTTATCCTTGAGGGAGAGAAAAGGTTTGAAAGGTCAATCCCCAAATCAGCCCTTAATAAGCATAAGCCAAAATTAAGTCGCCTCTCCTCCTCCGGTATGATAATCGGAAGAGATTTAAGTGCTATATCCTAGTATCGTAAGGGATGTGTGAGACACCACTGATTAATTGCGTTCCTACCCTCTGTACTCTTTTCAGGATATGTGCCACCTTTTGAAGCATAGACTCACCGTTTGTATGCAGTATTCTGGATGAAATCTGACATATGCTGCTTAGAGTACTTGGGACACGCCCTCGTCTAGTCGTTTGTAGGCCCTTCGAGATGCCCATAGCATTTGAAGAGCCTAAGTTGCGGCTCGATTACAATTTGGCATTGTTTTTAAGTGATGGCTTATAGTAATTCCTAAGTCCCTTTGTACCCTAACTTCTGGCAGTTCTATGTCCCCAAGGGAGTACGACGTGTAAGACTTCTGACCTTGGTGCATTACCGCGCTTTTCTTGGAATTAATTTCCAAACTCCAAAGTTTAGTCCATTTGGCTAATTTGTCTAGATCGTTTTGTAGTACCAACCTATCATCGTTACTATTTACTGTTTTCCAGATCTTAATATCGTCCGCAAGTAGTAAGGGAGATGAGGTAAGAATTTTCGGCAATTCATTTATGTATAATAGGAAAAGCAGGGGGCTAAGTACAGTTCCCTGAGGTACTCCACTTAGTACTGCTTTTCACCCTGACAGTACACCATTAACCCTTACCGTATGCCTTCATTCCATCAAAAAGTTGCTAAACCACTCACATACGCGTTGGTCTAATCCAACCAAGGAACGAGTGCACACAGGCATTGTATAGGAGAATTCTGTATTCATTTCTGCAGACGATCCTGAGTAGAAAGCCAGTAAGCCTGCAAGATCTCGATACTTATTTGGAGATATGTTATGAGAATCATACACTGTGTGAACGTTTCATTTCCGGCTGTAGTACAGGTATGACTTTTGTAAGTGTACGGCCTTCATTTTCTTGGCTGGGTTCAGGGTTGGAGCAGTTTATGCACAGCCAAACATTTTTCAATAATAAATTGGAGTCGCCAGGTTTCACGCCATCTATCCACTTCCATTAATTCTTCCCTCATAGGATTCACGGATGTACTGAGGTCTGTGCTCCAGAATGTATAAATTACATTGAAGTTGTCTGCATGCAGAAGTGGCCTGACCGTAAAAGGGGTTCACAGACAAAGTTTGTATACATTATCAAGTGGGCAGGGCCTAATGCACTTCTCTGCGTGACACCATTACCTATCGATCTAAACCCTGAGTTCTTTTAACCAGATTTTAGCGTTCGATTTCCATCACGGAGAAATGATTTTATTCATTTCTGGGGATAGTTGCGAAATCCCTAATGAGCGTAGTCTGATGACTAGCTTTGTCGAAGGTTTCCCTTAGATCAAAATCCAGGACAGTCACCAGTTCTATCCTATCTCTTCTATAAGTGACTTCATTAGAAAAGTCTACACGCCGTCTGGTGAATGATCTTTTCTCGAGGAATCTGTCTCGTAGTGCGTCGATTAGCCTATGTTCTGGTGAGCAGTTTGGCATTATGACACTATTTACTTTCCCTAGCTGATCAGTAGATATGGTGGTGGTCACTAAGGTGAATCGCCCCATTCTCCAGGAACAGCAAAACACAATTAAAGGCTCGAGATATTTCTGATTTTATGAGGGCTTAGATCTTTATCTTGAAAAAGATAATAGTGAACGCCTTGACAGATCATGCTTCTACCTTTAATATATACCATTCGCTCAGCCTATTGTTGAGATGCGACCACGTGGGATCTGCACAGATTTATGGGGCATCTTATAATTAACTTGCTATCCATTGTCAGATCTTTAAATACCACTTCACAATATCTTGTCTCATTATTTTCTAATAACGTCTTTACTTGATTCTCATTATATTCCATTAAACCTAACATTTATAGCTCTTTATGAATTTGATTCGACTTATTCTATTCCTATTCTCTGGAGGGTCGGTTGTGCACAATAGAAAAAAGCATGAAATAAAAAAACTGGCTTGAAAATAATTGTATTAAAGCCAAAAGTGGACTCATGATAGTATAAAATATATTGGTTTCATTATACATTGCAAATGAACGTTGTCGGCCTAAGGATTAATTACTTCCCCATTCTGTTTTCTATATAAATGTGTTTATTAATGATATATTTCACTCACTTAATCTATTACATTAATGTTTCACCTCAGCACTTTAATTTTTCTAAAACAGCTTCCAATTCCTTGTAAACGTTGTACTTACCTCAATATTGGTTGGTTATCCTATGCTACAACCACGGGATGAAAACGAAACGAAGTCGATTTTCCCGCTCAACCTGGAGGACAATTGTACAATTCAATAACTATACGGCCTGGTTCAGACAATGTGTAATTATATATATGTATCAAATATTAAAATGTTGAAACATTATTAACTTGTAGACAATTTAAGATTTGACATTATATCATCCTTGATCGTGCCTGTAAAAATGGCATGCATTTTCATGTAAATTTATGTTTATATGGAAATAAATTATTATTATTATTACCCGCTTTTCGTGATATAACGAGCGGTATACTGATGGGCCCTATAATTTCATGCACTGGCTTCAGCACGTGCATTATACTTAGGATTAGTATTCTAAGAAGCAAGGTTATGATATCCATGTTATTTTATTCGCACGTGATGGCTGGTATGCCTTCTGTTCCACCACTATCGTTGGCTTTTAGTATACTGGCCACCGAGGCTAGATTTTGCGTAATGTAAGTCAAATGGTGGCATAGTGGCCTGACCACTAATTCAATTAAGTTACCAGATCAACAGTCAAGGTAATCTCTCGTCCACCGGCTAGTCCATCGTAGATAACCTAGCTGACAGCCGTGGCAATGACAAGACAACGCCATTTGTAGGGAAACAGTCCCCTTTGTGTCGTTGGCCTGCTTAAAATTATGCTTTGAAACACTCTCTTCTATCGAATCACCTATCGCTCCAGTTTGCCTCGTTATTTTCTGCCTTACAAAATCCATAGTGTCTCTTAATCGTATAACGTACAATGCTGCCCTTCAAAACTTTTTCAAGCTGTCCCTTGGCATTGTCCCAAAAACGTGGATCGAAAACACTATTGTGATTTTTAATTGGTGTTGAAGCCTGCAAAAATAATTACATGACTTTCCTCAAACTACAGAGCACAGACTGTAGATCTCTACCCGACAAAGTGGACTTCCAGGAAACCAATTAATTGGGCTGCTTGGATGAATCCCAGCCCATTTTTAGTTGATTTTAACTGGAAATAATCCTCATAATTGCTTCGTGGCCATCTATCCTGTTAAAACCTATCTTAAGCCACACTATCGGCGGACCGTTTGACCTGGTCCACCTGACCAGTCTGTCCTTAACACCACCCCTGTTAGTGAGGGGATAATACAAACTTATGGCTGCTCAAGGAGTACGGAGTCATATGGTCAAACCACAACTCGGCAACCGAGTTCCTTCCTTCGAAAATCTAGCTGGCTATTGTGTGTTTTGATCAAAACAAATAAATTAATTGATAGTTGACGGTGAATTGACTGGGGTTAAACTGATTTTGAATAATAATAACAATTTATCTTACTTTATTCCAAAAACAGTACTTATAATACAGAATGGAATTATCAGCATTTCTCACAATACTGCGTCTGATTTAATTAAAATACAAATAAAATTAAAAATTAAAACATAGGAAACCGGAGGAATTCGTCCACGCCTACTATATAAAGTAAAAAATATTCTAAGGACGAACTGAAATCATTGAATATTAATAATAACAGTGAGTATGTTTCAAAAAGTATTCTCGATTCAGTTTAAAATTTTTACCATGTTACTATAGAGTATCGAATCTAATGTACTGTTGATGTAGTACAGTGATGGGAAATACAAGATTAACAGCCGCAACACACCTTAAACGATGAAAATCACGTCTCATAAACCGTTAATGCCCAGCTCTTGCTGATCTGGGCCTCACAAATTCCCTCGAAGCTTTTCAGAAACGCTTAGTACTAACGGATGCAAAAACCACAACAGAGATTGGCGAATTGGGAACTCAATATTTTAACATAAACATATAACCAGCATTGTTAGCATTAAAGATTAAAGTCAAAAAGCAAATATTACAACAAAAAATCACGATATAAGTTCTGAGAGATTTTCCGAGATATTACAGAACAGCGACCGATGAGACGATGACTGTCGTATTGATGCCTCCGCGAAAATTGGGGAAGTTGGTTTTGAGCAAACAACCATGAATTGATCGTTCAATCTTCAACTACATTGACACTCCCCGGCAAAAAAGGATCTATTCCTTTTTTCCATCACGACCAACAAACGTTGACTTGGATGCCATTGCGAGAACCTGGGTCACTCGGACAGAGCTGAAATGGAAAACAAACAGAAAAGCCAACACACCACAAGCATACCCACAGCACAATCTCACATATCAATGACGACCTCCGCCTTCCAGTTAAAGGTGCCCTCTTGACACATCCTCTTGCAACACAATCACCACTTGCTACAATGACTCTTTCAGAATGCAACGTGACCATGGCACCACCTCACGATACTCTACGCACATCCTCTTATCTACTCACTACCAATTACCACTGCAATCGATTGTCACTCATTCTACCACAGTTCTAGTAACGGT